AATAATTGTAATAACAGTATGATCAATGAAAACACAATATATAAGCTGGAAATTTTGCTAATTCTTTGACATAAAATTCCTAGATGGAAGAAAGCAGTCTTTGTAAAAAAAAAGTGGTATATATACGTAATGTATATTTAGATTTTCATCTTAAGAATTCCTTTAGTTACCTGTTCACTGAGCTGCTGTGTCCAAATACCGCTAGCGTGTACTGTTATTGGCATTGGAATAACGCCTGATCAAATTGAAATGTTACTAGTGTAAAAATCATACTAGATTTTGAATAGGTAGTGTGAAAAAAATGTAAGTCTTCCAGAAAAAATAATTTTATGTTGTACACACAGTCACAGTCACAGTCCTCCCATTGTTCATCGATTTGCTCAAGCGGGCCCAGTAACGTCTCCATCATGAAACTTGTTGTTACTGTGTTTGGCATATCGAATACGTCATGGGTAGCTTGCCAGGCTCTGCTGTGCGGGCGAGATACTCTCCGTAGCTTGCCGGGCTCTCCGAGAGGGGTGAAGGAATCGAACTCGGGTCAGCCATGTTGGCCGCTTGTAAGGCAAACGCCCTACCGCTGTGCTATCGCTCCAGCCCTTTATGTTGTACATATGTATGTTGTACATGTATGTTGTACATACATTAAAATATATTTTGATAATTTGGTTAACAAAAGTAAGTAAAGGCCCTCCCGTTGATCGTCGATTTGCTCGAGCGGGCCCAGTAACGTCTCCATTGGAGACTTTGTTGTTACTGTGTCTGGCATATCGAATACTCTCGGTAGCTTGCCTAACAAAAACATATTACATTTGGGGGATGAGGTTGTGGATCAGCAGTAGAATACGTCTCACCGGTATGAGGTTCTGGGTTTGATGTCCTTCACTATCAAAAATTCATTTTTTTAAAGTATTTGTGTGTGTGTGTATGTGTGTGTGTGTGTGTGTGTGTGTGTGTGTGTGTGTGTGGTGAACATGGGAATTTGCTACACCTGATGATGTTCAGGGGCTACTCCCAAGATCTGTGCTTGGGGGTCACTCCCTGTGATACAGGGACCATGTAGTGACCAGGTGGAACTGTGGTTAACCCCTTATATGGCAACTGCCTTAATGCCAGTACTATCTCTTAGGTCCCTTTTTGTATTTCCTCAACTGGAACACTTAAAAGTGCATAGATAGATAGATAGATAGATAGATAGATAGATAGATATAGCACAGAGGGTAGGGCATTTGCCTTGCATGCGGCCCACCTGGGTTCGATTCCTCTGTCCTTCGCGGAGAGTATCACACCCACAGGGCAGAATCTGGCAAGCTCCCCGTGGTGTATTCAATATGCCAAGAACAGTAACAAGTCTCACAATGGAGACATTACTGGTGCACACTCAAGCAGATTGATGAACAATGGGAGGACAGTGCTACTGTGCTACACACATACACACACATACACACAGACACATATATATATATGTGCATATGTGTGTACGTATGTCACATTTGTGGGTTGCTTTATTTTTATTAGGCAGCTATTTTTTTAAAAAAAGCTGTTGACATGACAGTTAATAATACATAATATAGGCACAGTGCCTGTCAATATATATTTGTGCTTTTCAGACACTTCTTTAAACTGTCTCTTTCCTCTCCCAGATGGTTTCTCCACTTTGCTTACTAGAAAATTCTAGTTTGAATAGCTAACTGAAGAACTATAATCCCTGTAAATTAATTTCTCTTAACTATGTCACTCTTCACCTACACCTAAGTAAGAAAGAAATATATCCCCTGGGTTACTGACAATTATCTTGCCCAGTATCTACTGAGGGTCTGTTTATTGAAACCAGAGAGGTGGTGGAAAGAGCATGGTATGGGTCTTGTGCCTTCGGTAATCGCACTTAGAATAGGGTACATGCAAGTAAACATCACAAAACGGTGTGGAAAATGCTGTAACAACAGAGATCCAAAGAACCCTCTAAGTATTTCTTTCCCAATTCTGATTTTGTGGTACAGAAGAACTCTCAATATCTGATCTCATAGGAATCCTGGCCTAATGAAAATACTTTGGGACTTAATTCTGGAAGCCAAAGTTCATCTTTTTATATCCCAATTATTAGAATGAGCATTGTTTTCAAAGTAAAGATGATTTAATAAGCATTTTTTAGAATTATTTATTTTTTGCTTTCTGGGTCACACCTGGCCGTGCACAGGGGTTACTCCTGGCTCTGCACTCAGGAATTACTCCTGGCAGTGCTCGGGGGACCATTTGGGATGCTGGGAATCGAACCTGGGTCGGCCACGTGCAAGGCAAATGCACCATGCACTACCTGCTGTGCTATCACTCCAGTTCCCAAGAATTCTTATAGATCATTTATACTTCAGTCGTTTCAGTGAGTCTTTTCCCCAGAAAATTTAGGAATATTTTTTAATATAAAAGAAAGGATAACAAAATTGCTCTGATATACTTAGCATGATTAAGCAAAGATAAACTATACAAAAGACATACAATTTATGTAACCCTAATTTACTATAGAAAAAAGTTCCAGATTTTAATGCTTGGATTTCTGTAAGGTTGAATAGATAGCTTAATAAGAGGTGAGGGCCTTGGTTAAGTCATCTCACATATGGCAGGTTTTTTTTAAACACTAATGTTGGAGGGCAGCACCAATCTGGGCTTGCTGGGTAAATTGTGTAAGCTCACTGATTAGGAGGCTATTTATCTGCATACCTCAATGAGCTGAAACCTAGTTAAAGAAGCAAGAAGAATTCTTTTCAAAACAGTTGAGCAGTCTAAATATCTGTCACCCCAAATCTACATACAGATCTGTACACACTTCAGGGAGCAGCATATCTGTCCCATATGCTGGACCTATGTTGCTTTCCATTAGATAGAATTGTGACATTTACGACAATCTGGATTCTCTGTCTGCACCGGACTAGAAGCTGCTATCAGAAGAGGAGGGGACCATGAGAGGTAAGCATGCTGAGAACAGAAAAAGGACAACAGCATTAGGCTGGTGAAGTGGTAAACACAGAAACTACAAATGGCACCCGTAATCACTTTACCATAGTAACCTAGAGTCTGTCAGTGCAGCCACTGATAATTTATATACCTCCTAAGAGCATCCCTAACACCTAGGATGAAGGCTGGTATGGGAGTTCAGTGTGTTTGTTAAATTCACTACACTTACTAATAACCTTTAAGAAAATTAACTCTAACTTTTCAAGAAAAAGCTTAATGAAGGCTAGTAAACTGCTTAAGAATCCAGAAGCATTTATAATGCATTTTAAAAATCCCTGTTTGAGATTTTTTTTTTAACAACAGCTTTTTTTTTTTCTTAAAGGAGTTTTGATTTTTTTAAAGTACCAAACTTAGATATGCTGATCATCACTTTATTGGGACAGTTTGTTTTGTCTCAATTCTGGATAAATGATGTACAATGGAATAGCAGACTCTATTAAGCTGTCTTGAACAGATTTCAAACTCTGCTATATGCAAATAAGAACCAATCATATAAAATTTAAATTCTATAAGCTGGCAACAGATTGCAGAGTTGAATCACTAGAGTTCTACTCTTAATAGGGCTACAAGCACCAGGACCACTGAGCAAAAATCTTTTCCCCAAAATCTTTCCACGTGTTTCCCCCATGTGCCAAGCTCAGTGCTAGGGGATGAAGTTATTATGCATAAACTTGAAAATATTTTGCTTTTAAGACTGTGAAGATATTCCAAGGCTCTCATTCATATTTTAAAAGGTTAAAAGAAATGTTAAATGCACAATACAGTCATTACATAATAGGCTTAGAATATTGTTTTATGTCTCTCTCTCTCTCTCTCTCTCTCTCTCTCTCTCTCTCTCTCTTGCTAGCAATTCTATTCAAAAGCTGGAATAATTAAGGATACCACAATCTGTATATACAAATTGAGTGTCATTGAGTGCCACATCCAGTTGAGTGCCACATCCACTCATTTGTTCGGATAATAAGTCTTTTAACACAAGCATGACATTATTTAGGAGTTTGGGGTGCGATTCAGTTGTACTTAGCTTTTGTGCACTAAGCAACCCCCCCCCCAAAAAAAAAGGCAACAAAACAATTGTAGCAACAGCGCCCATTTCCCTTGGCAATTTTTTTTTCATGGCGAGTTACTAAATGCTATATGCTAGGAGTCAAAAAGAAATCTGACATCTAGGGAGGTGTCCATGGGGGCGTTTATAGTTCCACTTGGATGTTTGGAGATGGGTGAAGATGAGCTCTGGACGCGGCAAATCCGTCTGGGTGGGAGGGCGGGGGGGTCGAAATTCGGGTTTCCAACGGAGGACACCCTCCTCCTTTCAGCATCTCCCTTCGCCAATCCCGATCCCCTCCAGATCAGAGGCGGGTTCGGTGAGATCGGGCTGCAGGGAAGCCAGCGGCTCCCGGGTGCTGCCGCCCCGGCCTCGTGATGTAATTGTTATTGCTCAGTCGGAGCCCCGGAGAGCGGCCGCCGGGGTCGGCTCCGATTCCTCCCGCGGACCGGGGTCGATTGGTAGCAGGACTCGGCGGGAGCCCCGGCTAGGACCGTGCAGCCGTGGACACAAACCCAACTCCCGAGTCCGGCGTCCGTCCGAGCAGCTGCCCGGGGCACTCACTCCGCAGGTCTCCTCCTTCCCACTTCTCTCCCGGCCACCCCGCAGTCACTCCCGGGTGCCTCCTGGGTGCTGTGCGTGGGAGCCAAGTGACCCGGAGTTAGTAGTGCCCGTGGCTGCCCCCCTCACCCGCCTCCACCACCCCGCAACCCCAGGATCAAAGCAGGACACAGAAGACAAGGTGGTGGAACTTGGGGGGGGGGGGGCGAAGGAGAGGGGGAGGTGGGAGGGAAGAGGGAGCTCGGGGAGGTGGGGGGCGCCAGGGACGGGGTGAGTCGGTAGGAGCAGACGCTGAAGGTGCCTAGACAGGGGCAGTTTAGGACACTCCGGATCCCCCCATTTCTGTCCCAGAGGCGAGCCTTTAGGCCTGGGTAATGCAAACGACCCCTCACCCCGCTTTATCCAAACCCCTCCCCAGAACATCCCCCCCCCCCTCCCCCGGAGGAGCTGTCCAGGCACCTTCGGCGATCGGGGGCGGCTGGACAGCCGGGAGCGGGGCGACCGGGAAGCCTGACGTCGCCACCTCTCCCCTCCGAGCTGCCCCTGGCCTGCAGCCCGCGTCGAGACCCCCCTTCCCCTCGGCCGTGGTGGTGGTGGTGGAGGAAGCGGTGTTGACGGGAGCCGCGGGAGAGGAGGGATGCTCCGAGCCCCCCAGCACGGGAAAGCGCGGGCCCCCGAGCTGCTCGCCGCTGGCCGTCCCCGGCGACAATAGGCGCTGGGGCTGGGAGGGTGGGGGGAGGAAGGGGAGACGTGTGTGTATGTGTATGTGTGTATGTGTGTGTGCGTGTGTGTGTGTGTGTGTGCAAGAAAAGGGTTAAGAAACTTGGCCGGAGCGCGGGGCTTGGCGTGGGGCGGCGAGGGGAGGGACCGAGCCGCGGCCGCCGGGGCGGGGGGAGGAGCGCGGCTGCGGGCGGGCGGGCGGCGCGCGGGGCGCTCCGAGTCCGCCTCGCAGACATTGCAGCAGAGCCCCGAACTCGGGAGGCGGCGGCGGCGGCGGCGGCGGCGGCCGGGGAGGAGGCGCGGGAGGAGCGGGAGGAGGCGGCGGCGAAGGAGGAGGTGGAAGAGGCGGCGGCGGTCGAGGCGGAGGGACGAGCCGGCCCTGACGCCCGCGCGCGCGCCCGCCTGTGGCCTCGCGTCCGGGGCTGGGCAGCGCTGCCGGCCGCGGGGAGAGCCCGCCCGGGCGCGCCGAGGGAAGCGCGGGCGGCCGAGGGACGCGGACGGAGCCGGGCGCGGCGGCGCGGCGGCCTCGGGTGAGTTGCTGGCGGCGGCGGCGGCCGCCTGGAGCTGAGTAGGGGGTGGGGGGGGTGTGGGTTTCTCGGTGGGGGCGGCCGGCGGCGCTGCCGGAAGCGGCCTCGGGGCTCGGCCCGCGGCGTGGGCGGCGGCGTGGGCGGGCAGGGCCGCGGGGGGCGTCGGGGCGGCGGGGCGCGCGCGCGGCCGCCGGGGGAGTCTGCCCGGCGTTTCCGGGCAGAGCCCGCCTGCCCCGCGGGCTCCGGGTCTCCCCCTCCGCGGGGTCCGGCAAGTTGTGGAGTTGGCTCGGGGCTCCCGGTCCGCTCCGCGTCTGTCCGCGGGGAGGGAAGGAGACCCGAAGGGGCGGCCGCCCGCCGTGTTGGCGGGGAGGGAAGGGGTAGTTGCCCGCCCGTGCGCCGGGCCCCGCGGCCCGCGTCCCAGGCGCTCCTCTCCGCGCTGCCGTGGGTCGCGCTGCCCGGGGCGTCCGGGGCGGCGCCGGCCGCTGCTCCCCGCCACTGGCCCGGATTCCAGCGCCCGGGAAAGTGAGTCGGGCTAGGGGACGGCTCCCTCGGGCGATCTGCGACACCCCCTCCCCCCGCCCCGCGCGCGCGCGCGCACACACACACACACGCACATCAACACACAGACACACACACCCACTGCCGTCAGTGCTCGTCCCGTGAACCAGACTTGTTGGGTCACGAAGGCCTGAGCGGTCCCTTGAATCTCCCGGAGCCTGACGTCGGGCTCCCTTGGCGGGGCGCACCCCGCGGAAGTCCTCCGGGGAGTTCGGGGAGACTTTGGTGGCTCCCTGGGGACCCGTAACTCCCAGCAGGTCTGTGTCTCTGTGTGTAATATGTTGGTGGTGGTAGGAGGTGGGGGAGTTGTTTCCCGGAGGGGTTCCCCGGCATCGCGCTGCCACCCCTCCCGCCTTTCCCCGAGGACTTTCCCACTTTGCATCCCGAGTTGGTGTCGCGTCCGAAGGAACAAAGGAATCGACTGTGTCTTCGAGGCAGACCCGGGCTGGGAGTTCGGGGACACATGTTGATCTCGGGAGCCGGACCGGAGTTTCTCCAAAGCCTCTCCCCTCGCGGGACAGAGTGCTTAGGAAGATAGTGAGAGAGCGGGAGAAAGTACTTGATGCCTTTGTAATCAAAACTACATATATATGTATAAATGTATGTGTGTGTGTGTATATACACATATATTTTATACACACACATACATTTTAAATACGACAGTTTCTTTGGTGGGTGTGTGTGTTCGGGGCCGGTGGGGGGAGCGGGACGTTCCGAGCTGCCCGGGACTTTTAACTCCAGGTGCAACTGAGTTGGAGTTTGTCTCTGGGAACGTCAATGATTAAATGCAAGGTGGTGCGGGGAACAAAACGGTCTCCCGAGTAAGGGAAAGCCGTCTGTCGGGGTCCAAAGTTAAAGAACGGCTGTCGGGTTGTAAGGTGATGAATGTTCTTTCCATGGAGCGGGGAGAATGGGCTGGTGAAGTGAAATGAGCGTTTTGGGTAATTCATTTTTATTTTCCTTCAAGTTCTGAACCGTTGTTAGTTGAATCGTGGGTTTCAGCAAGTGGGCGACGTTTTCCTGATGTGATTAATCAGTGTAGAGTCACTGGTTTGCTACCTTTGTTGGAAAGACGCTAAAATAAGTGCGCCCCCCCCCCCCCCCCCCCCCGCGCCTTTAAAAAAACACACAAAACTAAATGGTGCTTCGTCTGCCTGGCACCTACGTGTGGGTATGATGAAATGTTTTTCAACATCTAAGTAAGTTGCTCTGCTTTTGTCCAGTGATTTGGTAATAACAATTGGGTTTAGCTGGATCAGAGAGTAGTGGCTTCATCACCAGTAATAACTTTTCTCTGCCTGGAATTAGTTCCTAGAGACAAAGAAGAAATCAGTCAAGGGAATGGCTCCTAGGTGGAGGCTTTCCCATTGTTATTCGAGTGTGTTTCATACACAGATCTTTCTGTATTTAACCCTGACAGTACCTTAGGGGCTTGAGTTAAATAGACGTGTGTATGTATATGTAGATTTTTTTTTTAATGAGAGTTGCTCATTGTTGATTTTATGGATGTATTCTCTATAGTGCTTTTGAGGTAAACTCTAGGTTGGTTTAAAGACTACAAGTAGCATTTGACTTTGAACCACTTCTTTCATGCATTTCCAAAGGCTGCAGACCTTGAGTTTTAGCCATTTTAATACTCTTAAAATATTGCAAGTTAAGCAGTAAAGAAGTGTCTGTAAGCGAGGGTAAAGGCCCTGTCTCTCCTACAGTTTTAAGAGCAAAACATCATGACAAAAAATAACCTATACCACCACCTAGAGTCAGTTTGTTGGTTTATTGCTACTGAAGTTTGCCTAAAATGACTTGCCTCTTGTGGGTCTTTTATAGCCAAAAAAATTAAGAACTGTTGTCTTTTTAAACATTCATCCAAGATAATGATTTGTGTGTAATAGAAAATGCCAATTTAAATTATCCAGGCTAACTTTAGAATTGTAAATAATGACTATATTTAAGTTGAGTGGGCTCTTCTCCAAAAGATATTAATTCAGAAGAACTTCTAACTGGGAGTTGTCTGTGCCCTAAGGTAGCTCCTCTGTTTTAAAATTTTCTACATTGTTTCCAGAGATTTTAAAAAAATAGCACAGAAATGAAAGGACAAGGTTCTGACTATTTGCAATCCTGATTAAACACAGGCAGGGATACAGAAATGTAACAGTGTTTCAACTCTCCTAAATACTGTAAACTGGTAAGGTGAGAGAGAAAGTAGTTTGTTGATTAGCAGTGAGAAGTAAATTAATCTGCCTTGTGGGTAGTGCACATAGGGAATAATCTGTTAAATGGGGTGTTTTAGGAAGCTGACTTTGTTGCCTTGTAGTTTATCTCATTGTCTCTGGAATAAGTAATGTTGCTTCTTTAAGTGGAGTAACCTGTGGGAAAGATGCCCTCCTAGATCTTTAATTAAATACCAGTTGAACAGAGAGAACTAGAGCACTGTATTAATTCTGTCAAACATCACCATTTTTGAACATTGAGCAAAACTACAAGGATTTAACTCATCTGAAAGCAGAGTTTTATGAAGGTGACAGGAGAGGCAAAATATATCAGTGGAATGGAAGAATGGAACATAGGGAGGTAAAGAAATAAGTCTTCCCTGACTCTTGAAAAATGAGGGAGAATGAAGGTTATTATGAATTGTACAGATTCCATTGCAAACCAGTGCTAGAAGATGATGACGTAGATGTAATTTTAAGTTAGAATGGCTTTGGATAGAGGATGTCAAAGGAACTAGGTATGCCAAAACTTTAAGACCTTTAGGAAAATTTGATCTCCTGTTTTAAGAATTGTTCTGTAAAATAATAACTGTTCAAAGATAATTCTGCCAACATCTGTTTAAAAAAATCTTAATTTTTTCAAAGAAAAACTCAGAAATTACCATAGTTTTAGTTTTGCATTTTAATCCTTCGTTTGCTTGATATTAGTGTGTTTAAAGTGTTAGGTTAATAGAAATAAAGTAGTTTTAGTTTATGTGTTTGTGCTATGTCTCTCCGTTGCTTTCTCACTCTCTTCACTCTTCCTTAAATAAATAGCTTCTCTGTCCTTGGATGTTTTTTTCTCCATGAAGATTGTAGTTATTTGTAGCCTTCTTGGCTGTGGTGGGGTTTCACTACTCTTGAAGTTTCTTTACTCTTAAGCTTTTTCCATTTTCCCCTTTTTGGGGCTGATACATCAGGATGAGTTGTGCTTTTGGTTTTAATATGATTTATTGTTACACAGATGAAGATTTGGTTAAAAAAAACAAAAACAAAAACAAAGGGTTAGCTGTTATAACAAAGCCCTCTGTATCTTTGACTTCCAGCTGAAATATTTTTATGAAAAGAAACTTATGATTGCTCTAGAAAAGTAAAAGGAACTGTTGCAACAAATTATGGGGTGAGTCTTTCAGGATTGTAACTTTGAGTATATGGATTAAACTGGTCAAGTTGCAGGTTTTTCAGGGGACTATCATGAGCCTCCTATAGTATTTAGATAACATAAAAAAATAGAAAATCTAACAACAGAGTGATAGTCAGAACTGAAGAAGGTAAAAATCAAGAGTGTCAAAAGATGGAGCAGGCCAGGAAACAGAATTAAGGATTGTGTCCAGAGGTCGGAATGAGCAAAAAGTAAATGGATCTTGTTTCTGTATCCTGTTTTCCTCTGATGCTGAAGCAGGAACATGAATTGCTGATGATAATGGATTCTCTTAAATGAGAGCAGCAATATTATATAAATAGTGATTGTTTGAGAAGGAGAAATGACAAGTTCTCCCTTTGTACATTTGCATTCTTTGCTTTTGAGTGTCTCTTAAATATATTTAAACTGGACTTTGTGGTACCGATTAGATGCCATAATAGAAGCTTAGTTTCATGAAAATTGGAACACAATGAGTTAATATTAGATTACTTTTGAAGATCTTATTTTTCCAAGGGTCTTATTAAACATGGAAAACAAAGTGGTGAAATTTGCGTTTTGAACTGGAGACTTTCATACTATTTCTGATGGAGAATGTAAATAAATACAGAAAGAATGTTTTGTTTAGTCATGTTATTGTGTGACTCAAGTGTAGGGAGAATTGGAGCTTAAAGAGGCCTCCGAAGCCTTGTCAGGATTTATTTGCAAATTTTAATGTAAGGGCCCATCTGCTGTTTTTTGTTCCTTGAAATTTAGTGTTCAGTGTGATAGATTTTGAGTATTTAGAGTTCATTTATAACTGAATTTTCCTTTTATGTTGTTATAGGGATTAAGTATAGTTTTACTTATCATAACATAGGTTTTGATATAAATAGGACATTATACTAATTGTCATTGTTCTAGTATACACTACATTATAAACATTACAATTCAGATTGATCTTCCATTGATTTGCAAATATTTTAAATGAAGCATTACAAGCCACAGTACTTTAGGTTGTCTGTACACTTGAAATATATGATAACTTAAGTTCATAAAACATTGAGAAGTACAGGAACATGAAAAGTAAATGTGATGACATTTTACTTTGGTGTTAAGATTTTGTTAAAATTAATAATCATGAAAATCATGAACCATACTAGGGTATCATTTAGCCTAGAAGTCAAAGAATAATGACAAGAAGATTTGAAGACTGTTGAAAATTAGAAAGTCATTCTTTGGAATAGAAAATGATTTCTCTGTTTTTACTCAGTTGTGTGAAGATATTTTTTAAAAGCTGTACTATTTTTTATTTTTGAAGAATATGCCTTGCATAATTGTCTGTTGCTAAACTTCTAGATTATTTTATTTGTTTTTTGATTGAAATATGTTGAAGAAGTTCAGAATATGTTGAAACTGAATAGGGAGATGCTTATATTATCATTTCACTTCTAAGTTCATCTGTTTATCTCTCCATCCATCTATTGTTCATTCACCAGCCATCATCCTATCCTTCTTCTCATTCTTATCCTCTCACCCTCCATTTCCACTTCCCCTTTTTCTTTATTTTTCCTTCCTTTTTTTCGATAAATAAAGTTACCTTTTTTAAAAAAATACGTTGTAAAGAAACTCAGACATTGAATTACTTCTCTGACATGGTTAATAGTTGTGTTTGAAATTCAAAGCAGGCATAATTCACTGTCCCCAGAATTTTTTTTTTTTTTACTTTGTATACTCGGAGTAAAAATTCAAAATTAAAGCCCATCCTGCCTCTTTAACTTTGTGTCATTTTAGCAAGAAATATCATGAACGATGGAAGGAAGAGACCATTATTTGCCTTAAATTCCAGGTCACTGTGTGACTAAGCTTAGAGTTTCAAGAAATATTAAACAAGAAGCCTGCTGGGAATTTGAGTCATCAGCCTAAGATACCAACGGACCAGGGCAGTGTGATTGACCTGATGTTAGTGTTTATTTAGGAGTTTGGTGGAATGGAGTTTCTCACCCTTGGACT